GATTAAAGACCTAAATGTAAGACTAGGTACTACAAAACTCTTAGAGGAAAACATAGGCAGAACACTCTTTGACATAAACCACGGCAATGTCTTTTCCGAGCTGTCTCCTAGAGTAATGGAAATAAAAACAAAAATAAACAAATGGGACCTAATTAACTCAAAAGCTGTAGCACATCAATAGAAACCATAAACAAAATGAAAAGACAACGCACACAATGGAAGAAAATATTTGCAAACGATGTGACCAACAAGGGATTATTCTCCAAAATTTACAAACAGCTCATGCAGCTCAGTATCAAAAAAACAAACAACCCAATCAAAAAATGGGCAGAAGATCTACATAAACATTTTTCCAGAGAAGAAATACAGATGGTCCAAAAGCACATGAAAAGATGCTCAACATCACTAATTATCAGAGAAATGCAAATCAAAACTACAATGAGGTATCACCTCACACCGGTCAGAATGGCCATCATCAAAAAATCTACAAACAATAAATGCTGGAGAGGGTGTGGAGAAAAGGGAACTCTCCTACACTGTTGGTGGGAATGTAAATTGGTACAGCTACTATGGAGAACAGTTATGGAGGTTCCTTAAGAAACTAAAAATAGAGCTATCATATTATCAAGCAATCCCACTCCTGGGCATATATCCAGAGAAAAATATAGTTCAAAAGAATACATACACCCCAATGTCAATTGCAGTGCTGTTTACAATAAGCAAGACATGGAAGCAGCCTAAATGGCCATCAACAGAGGAGTTGATGAAGAAGATGTGGTACATATATACTATGGAATATTACTCAGCCATTAAAAAGAATGAAATTATGCCATTTGAAGCAACATGATGGGCCTGGAGATTATCATACTAAGTGAATTAAGTCAGACAGAGAAAGACAAATATCATGTGATATTGCTTATATGTGGAATCTTTAATACAAATGATAGAAATGAACTTATTTACAAAACAGAAGCTGACTCACAGACTTAGAGGACGAGGAGGAGGGATTGCTTTGGAGTTTGGCATTGACATTTACACACTGCTATATTTAAAACATAAGCAACAAGGACCTACTGTATAGCACAGGGAATGCTGCTCAATATTCTGTGATAACCGAAATGGGAAAAGAATTTGAAAAAGAATAGATACATGTATATATATAACTGAACCACTTTGCTGTACACCTGAAACTAACACAACATTGTTAATCAACTATGCTCCAATATAAATTTTTTTAAATGACAAGTATAAGAAAATTCAGAGGAATAAAGTTAACTAGGCATTCAGCAAAATTAAAACACATAAAAAACCCAGAATTTCTATTACATCTCTGTCCTAAAAATACAACTAATCAATTCAGTCTAACATTATCAAATTTAATAATTAACATGAATTTTTACTGCATTTTAGAATTTATAGAAGAAATTCTTTGTTTTTGACTCAGGGTGTTTCAATCACATTTGTGATGCTTCATAAACACAGAATGACCCAAGATTTTATTACCACAATTAAAACAGGCTAGCATATATCAGGTACTAAGTAAATGCTCACTGAATGAAACTAACAAATATTATTAAAATATGGCTTGTTATATAGTTTTAGAAGGATACTTGATGACAATTACACATTTTTAAAGTGTAATATGTCACTCTTTAACTTTTATGGAGAAAATATCACTTTTAGGATAAAAGAAAGTACACCCAAGATGTGTACAATTGATTCATAAACTAGCAACCATCTTCTGTCTTGCTGCATTTACAGTCAACATTATACAATTACGAAGGTACTGATTTGTGATAGGTATATGTAATTAGCTTTAGACTGCTAAAAGTTAAATAATTAATATTATTCCTACACATCATTTTTTTTATCAGTTAATATTACAGGTTTGCCTAGTACAACGATGAGGGAAACTGTTTTCCTAGTCTCTTAAGTGCTCAGCTCCTCTCCAGTGGCACCATCTTCTCAGAGTAAAGCAGATTCAGAACCATCTCTATTTCAATCAACTTTCTCTCCTTCCTTCACTGCCAAGTTTCTTCAAAGGGTAATCAAAGTTTATTACCTCTGCTTCCTCACCTCCCCATCATTCCTCAATATCTACAGCAGCCTGGCTACTTCCTTCAACCTCCCACTAAACCTATTCTCACCAAAGTCATTCCTCCTTAGTGGCTAAATCCAAGTAGTGCTTTTCAGTCCTTATCTTGCTCTTTCAATCCTTTATGCTCTACAATTGCCGTGTCCAATACAGTGACAACTAGCCACATGAGGCTACTCAGCACTTTCAAATGTAACAGGTACAATGAAGAAAAATGAATTTTTAACTTTTAAAATTTTAATTAAATTTAAATTTGAAAACAGACACATGATTCAGCTTTAAGTTTCTTTGAAACAATTTGGGTATGTGAACCTACTTTTTCAACTGTATATTTTATAAAACAAATCAAGAATTTCCAATGAAAATTTAGCCTCTGAATTAAGATGTAACATATACACTGAATTAAGTATAACATATATACTGGATCTCAATGACTCAGTATAAAAAAGATTATAAAATGATCACATTAATAATTTTTATATTGATTACATATTTTAATAATGGTATTTTGGATATACTGGGTTAAATAAAATAATCATTAAAATTAGTCTCAACTTTTTCTTTTTACATTTCTTAAAGCAGGTACTAGAAAACTGAAAATTATCTATGTAGAATATACTTTGTTTCTATTGGACAGTGGCGTGCTATAGCATTAGATATAAATGACCACTCATTCCTTCTTAAAATGCTGCTGCTTTTCTCCTTCTTCTTCTTGGACTCCCCCTTTCTAGTGTGCAGTGTAACTTATTCTTCCACTCACTCCTTAAATGCCAGTGTCTCCCAAGGTTGTCCCTAGGCCCTTTCCCTTCCTCACACTAGGCATTTTCCTTGGGTGATCTCACCCTCACGCATGGCTCCCACTGTTCCTGTACCCTGAGGACTGTCAACCCTCTATGTGCAAATCAGCCCCTCTCCTGAAAACACTAAGTTCAACTCGACCTACACCTAAGTACACCTGCACTTAATTTGCCGTTACATCCTTACATATTTACCTTATTAATATCATAAATCTGGTCCCTCTTTTCCATTTCATTCAGGCCTTCATGATTTCTCACTTTTACCACTACAATTGCTTTGAAAGTGCTATCCCTGGCACCTTCCAAAGCAACTTCCTTTTGCTGGTAAGTTTCTAAAATTCACACCTAGACATATGATTTCTCTATTTAAAATACTTCGGTGGTTTCCCCACTGCCTTCAAGTTAAAATAAAAACTTCTTATAATCATACATAAGGCTTTATGCTTCATCATCAACCCTATAAAATCCCAAGCTCAGGGATATCTAAGCACCTGCAGTTTCCTGAATACAGCATTTGCTTCCTCACCGCCATTCTTTGCACATGCTCTTTTAGCTGGCAGGAATACCGTTCCTAAAACTCTATCCTGTTCTCTTAGTCATCCTTCAAAACTCAGCTGATATATCATCTCTCCCAGGAACCATCTCCAAACCACCAAGTCTGAACAAGTGTCCCTCCTCTGCGTCACCATCACCCCTATACATAGTTCTACCAATAACCCAATGACACTGCCCTAGAATGACCTGGTTAGTAGTCTGTAAACTCCCTGAAGGTAGGAATTAAGTGTTTTAACTTTACCTCCCCGTGCTACACTTAATGAGCACCTATTTATTAAATGGACACAATATTAAATAAGGGAAACCCACAGAATAAACTGCAAGGCTAGAAACTTAAAACTAGGCTAATATAAGTCACGAGTTAAATGAAGAAAGTTAACCTAATCACTCTAAAAACACTTTATAAGATGGCCTATTTCTGGACTTAATGAGCTAGCCAATAAAAATATATATCCTAAATAATCACTAAAATAGCAAATACTCAACAAAAGCAATAATTTAAAAAACTGAAAACTAAGTATGTCATTCTATTTCTATAGCCTTGTTTTTCATACCTTTTCTTCCCTAATTCTACTTATCAGTTCCTTCCTTCAGCTCTTTAATTTTCCTTCGAGTTAAATGTTGCATTTTTTCCGTCCCTTGCCCAATCCTTTTCACTTCTACTGTCCCTCCAATTCTTCTTTTAATCTAACAAAAATGCAAATACTGTCTTTGTCATCTCTGTCAGCAATTCTGTATAAAACAAAGGAATGGTAAAAAGCAGTGAACGGAATGATATCACCAGTCAGATTGGTAGACAAAACCATATGCATTAATCTGGGTGGTTGGTTTCATAATACTAAGCAGCTAATCTAGACCATATGCATAGTAAGTGGAGTCTGACAGGCATCAGCAAGTCCTTGAGGTTATTGCAGCAGGGCAGTGGGGGGTAAGAGAAAAGACCAGCCAACTTGCTGGTGGTGAGGGCAGCTACAGCACAGCCTTACAACATTCTCCTATTTGTGCCCACCATCCAAGAGGAAGCAGAAACGGGGAATTCAGGAAGCTGTCAGCTATCTGGACTAGCACGGTCAGGTAACCGATTTTAACGGTGCTTGCAGCATTAGCCAACCAGCCCTAGATGCTAGTCTGAGCACACTGGCCAGGGCACCAACTTTAGGACACAAAATAAAGACTGCTGCTCCCAGGGCACTTCTGAATTTTAGTTTTACTACAGAATAGATTCTGAGAGAGGCAGAGAAGTACCTGAAGAGAAATTATATAAGTATTCAAAGTAGGTTGGTAGGAAGAAACAATTGTTAGAAGGAAGGAGAGTACATTCTTTTAATTACCTGAGAGTAACTTTCTAAAACCACTCAACATTAGTTCTTGCAGGCATGGGGAAGTTCACCCTGAGGACCTATCTCTTAAGGAATTCGCAATCAAACAAAAATGAAATCTCTTGAAAAGCTTTACAAGTTTAACAGTGAAGGATGTGTCTGAAAAAGTTTCTGGACTGTCAAAGCAGCACCTTTATTGAATTCAAAGCAGTATAGTGCAAGATTTATTTTTACCCGTGTCCAGGAGTTAAGCTTTGATTCTCCAGAATTCTGTGGATCTTTCTTAAACAGACAACACAAGCACCATATTAGAATTTTTTGGCTTTCATCTGCAAAAAGGAAAACTAAAATGAGTAGGTTTTATCAAATAGAAAGAAAAGATAATCAGTATAAAATTTGTAACATTATATACTAAAGGAAATATATTTATTATATTTTAGGAAAATCACAAACTACTAAGTTCATAGAACAAGCATCCAGGACCATGTGTGAAACTTTGTGGTTTTTTTCCTTCTTGTGGGTTCAGGATCACTTATGCTTAGCCCTTGTGAGGTCAATTCTCTTTCTGTCACAGCAGCAATTTTTAAAGCCAAAAGAGAATGATGGAAAGAACTAAAAGAACTAGCTTTTTTAAAGATCAGTTCTTTATTTTATATTCAAACCATTAGCAATTTCAACCTTTTTAAGGCAATATCACTGCCATAAGCAGTAGTCAATATTTCTGATTTAATCAAATTGGCCAAAATACCCCCACTTGTTAAAAATAAATTTAACAAAAAGAATTGTTTTAAAATACATTCTTTTTAGTACCAAATGGTTTGGATAAAATAGAAGCCTTTTACATGCTCCTAATTCTTTACTCTAAAATGTAAAACTTTACTAAATATGTGATAACAATGCTGACCTTTGAAATCTATTTGGCTAGAACATCTACTTGGTAAGCCATTTTCTCTTTCCTCCTTTGGTAACTAAGTCCATTCAAGTTGGAGATTCTATAACACAACTGAGAAGCAAAAATGAGACCTAAAAACTGAAGATATCAGTACCTGAACTAGAGCCAAGCTACTATGGACTTTACCACAAGGCCATGGAGGTGATGCTGAGGAAACCCAGCACCCGGAATCACTCCTCTGCAAAATCACCTGATGCTCTTTACTTTGTTATCTACTGCAATTTCATAAACACAGCATTTCTAAGGGCTTCATTAACAAGAAATAAGGAGAATACAAACTACAGTAATCTATCTCAGCATTTTCAACCACAAACCAAAGGACCCCGATAGTAATTTTAAATCCATTTTCCCCCCATAAACTTAGGCTCTCCTAATAACTAACACCTCTGAACAAACTTTATCAGGGGTTATCCTGAGGGATATTCCTATTTTTCCTAACTTTTATGAGCTCAATTACATCACTGGCTTGCCTGAAATCAGTTCATTGCAAGAATCACATAATTTAACCACTGGAGATCCTAGGGTTCTTCAGGTTGAACCAATGCCACTGATTAAAAATCTGACTGTTGTACTTTCTATGTTTTAAATATCAGAAGAAATTATAACTATCTGTATGTCACAAGTGTGACAAACACATCTAATGATATGCTTATGTAAGCAGCTTCCCATGTTATACAGAATGCAACCTGATGCGGCGCATTTCCAAAAATCAGACACTCACCACTAAAGAGAAAAAAGACAGAAAATGTTAATTATGGAGTGTAAATCTAAAAGAATCCAAAAGATAGGAGTTTTCCCCAGTTGTTGAGTGACTCTGCACATTTAGTTCAACAAGCATATTATTTTTTACTTTTCTCTCAAAAAGAAAAAGAAGAGCAAGAGTAACTTGCCCCCAGCCTTTATTTCTTTGCCCAGAGTCAATGCACTGAAATGCACTGCTAATGAGCTTACTTTGCTTTAGGGATTTAAAGATGCAAGCCATCACCTATTATTCATGAATGCCACCAGCACTGTCTACAGGGGATGGCATCTGTCAGGCTCCTCCCTAGAGGCTCAGACATCGGAGCTGGAGCACTGGGGATCGAAAACTGCCTGGGATTCATCATGCACACAGTCATTAGTGCAAAGCACTCATCTAAAAATGAGTGTAAGGGAAAGGAATATACCACCATATATTTGTCACCTAATATTTTATTGTTTGATATCTTGAACTGAAAGCTCAAATGAAAGCTGAATTAATTCTATAGTTTAAAAGTGTGATGGCAGCATTTTTTTAGACAATAAATATTTGTTTTAAGCTGCCAAGTTTGGGGGCAAACTCTCACACAGTAATAAAAAGCATGAGGAAAACAGGTTATAGCTATAATATGTTAATCATGAGCTCAGACCTAGAACCTACCAGCCAGAAGTCCAAGGAGGTGAAGGCAGTAATTTTATGGAGAGAACACCACTGAATAAAAGGTGTTTTTTCCCTTTCTATTAACTATTTTTTCTCTTCCCTTTGTGGAGTCTTTTAATTTGCAAATCCTTCCTCCTTCCTTATTATCCTTATTTCTGATCCTAGTCTCACTTACTTACTTCTTTCCTTGATGGAAACTGTTTACTCTTACTGTACTTAAAAAATAATTTTGATATTACAAAACCATAAGAAAATATCCCTTCCTCGAAGAAAGTGCCCAACTAGTGAAACAACAGTGGCAACACAGGCAAGATTTGATTACTCATGAGTTCTGTGCCTGTCAGTCTCCTCTACTAGCTCAAAACCAAATGCATACCTCAAACAGGAAACTGAAATTTAATGGGCAGTTCAAATGGTAACACACACATTTAAACAGAAAGAGATGGAGAATTTGTTTCTGGTTCACAGAGGGGGCCAAAGTAATAGAGATTAGGTGCTAAGGAAAGATCACAGACAGATGCAAGTCTAAGTCCACAGGGAAAAATCGGTCCAGTCTCTCACTTTTACAAATAAAGAATCGGAGACCCAGTGAGTTCTTGCCTTAGTTCTTGCCTTAGAAAATCCTATCTCATCTATTTTCCTCCAAGAGTCAGCCCCCGCAAAACCTCCCCTGTGAAACTCTCCTTCCCCTCAGCAACTTAATCAAAGCTCCACAGTACCAACCATCATCCTGACTCTGGCTGATCTCCTTAGGTTTCTTTTTTCCCTGACTGGAAGCTCCTAGAGGGCAGAAATTGTGAGCCATGTTTTCCTAGGGCTTGACATTAAAAAAAAAAAAAAAAATAGTGACTATATACATTCACATGAAGCTGGCTGGTGGTAAAGCCAGGACTGGAACATTTCAACCACAGTGGTACAATCCATGGGGGCAGATCATTACAACAACATGGGCTTTAGAGGAGTAGGATCCTGGATTTTATTAGTTCTATATTCTGAGAAAAGTGACATATTTAGGCTAATCCATAAATATCTATCCTGCAAGCCTATCAAGAACTCAGTTAGACCCACGATGCAATCCATAGAGAACAGTGCTCAGCACAAAGTGAGCAATGCGTTCTACTTCAATTCTACAATCCAAACTTTCCCACATTTTAACATTTCTGAATTAAGGATGTGTCCCACATCCACTAGGTACACTTAAAGGGCATATTATTTCTTTTTTCTAAAAAGTGGTCATTCAATCTATGAAGTATCTAACTATGAGTGATGCCTTTAAATGGAGGAAATTCAACAGTTTCTTTTCCTTTCTCCTGCCATCAACAGCATTGGCCTAGCTCAATGTTTTTCACACTTTTGGTCACGACCTATAGGTGGATTGTAAAATCAGTTTTGGGTCATGAAAACCATTTTAAAAATGGTATAGTGAATATGAATTGCACATAATAAAAGCAAGCATTTTTTCATGAAACGTGTGGGTGTATGCGTATAACTGTATGTATGCATATATACACATGTATAGAAAATGTATTTCTGGTCAAAGGTTTTTTGAGAAACACTGGCCTAGTTGGAATATATAAATTTGGGGCAGGTAAGCATGGCCCTGGTAAGCAAATACAGTGATGGCTTCGCCATTTTATATCAAGAACTTGAACAAGCTAAGTGGGTAAAGGAGGAAGCGTCAACTTAAGGGGGAAGAGTAAGCAAGAGGCATTAAGTGAAGAGGAAAAGGAATAGAATGAAGTTGGGGGTGGAGCCAGTAAGTTTGAGTGTATGCAGTGCACCCAAGCATGTATGCTCATGGAACCAAATGCAAATGTTGTCCCTTCCCCACCTAGTTCAAGCTCCTTCTAATGACTTAGAACAGGCTAGGAAAGAGATACTGTATAATTCTCTAAACATCAAAGGGGAATATTCTTATTATTTTTGATTCTACTATCATTATATTATGCAATTAGTCTCTGACTTTAAAAATATGAAAAGTAGGGGGCTTCTCTGGTGGCGCAGTGGTTGAGAGTCCGCCTGCCGATGCAGGAGACACGGGTTCGTGCCCCGGTCTGGGAGGATCCCACATGCTGCGGAGCGGCTGGGCCCGTGAGCCATGGCGGCTGAGCCTGTGTGTCCGGAGCCTGTGCTCCGCAACGGGAGAGGCCACAACAGTGAGAGGCCCGCGTACCGCAAAAAAAAAAAAAAAAAAAAAAGAAAAGTATATATTACATTAGCTAACAATATAGTCAAATCAAGGCAATAAACCTCCACTATATACCTTCAGATGTGCCTATTCACCCTATGCTAAGCTCTGGGACAACAAAGAGAACTAAAACCACAGTTCCTGCTGTTGAGAGGCATTCAGTCTTCCAGGGCATCAGACAGGCAAACCAACAATTATAAAGCAGTGTAGTAAGTGTTATAATTAAGGGAGATACTGGCAGCTATGCACACACTAAGAAAGGTTCCTAACTCAGCCCTAGCAAGGCTATTTCGAAGAAGATTTGAGGACATGAGATGAGAACAGAGTTCCAGGCAAAAAGAACTGCATGTCGCAGGCCCAGACATCAAGCACTGTTAGTAATTTAAACTGTCTACAATGCATGTGGTATAGCTGTGGAGGATTAAACAGGAAATGAGGCTAGACAGGTAGGCAGGAGGTCAGTGAAGGAACACCTCCCCCCAAAGTATCCCCAAATTCCTCTTAACCTTGAGTAAAACCAAACTGTCACCCCTAAATAATGGCAGAGCCATAGCAGAATTCAAACACTGAAGAATTTTACACATGGAAAATGGTGTGTGAGTTAATATGAAATTGCAAAACAAAGAAATTATTTCATTATTATAACCATTTTACACTGAATTAAAAATGAAGTTATAACAATCATCTGGGAGTTTCTGCCCTCTAATTCAAGGAGTTCTGTTCTCCTACACATCTGCATGTATGTGCTTGTTTGTGTGTGCTTATCTATATACACATACACAAACATATACGGACAACACTAAAGGGTACCTTCTTTGTAATGGAACAAGGAATACATTTGATAAGTTGTTTCATGAAAAATAAGAGAAAGGCTTATAATTTAAAGTTCTGTGTTTTGTTAAACAATGCAAAGATTAAAATTATCATTAGAAGTCTGCATTTTGAGAGGACATGTTTTGGATTCTTACCATATGCTAAGATAAAAGGATTCCAGCAAGTTTTTGCCAACAGTTGACCAACTGTGGGGAATCTTTCAATTGCACTTGAATCCTATAAAAGAAAATCATGTTTTGGTCAGTAAAAGGACACTACGCAACTCAGAAAAGCCTGAACTGCCATTATAGGTTGAGGGAGCTTGAATGTTTCTTGTTTAGCATATATTTTAGAAAAGTAAGGGGAGAAAAAGGTTAGAGAAGATCTTTAGGTAAGTAATTCTAATAAAGTTTAACAAGCAATCACCATACTTCATCCTTAAACCAGGCCACCCAAACTAAGAAGTACAACAAGTTTAGGTAAAATCAATATTATTGCAGCATTAACTTTCTTTTACTCATATTTAAGTCAAGAAAGGCCACTTTATCTAAAAAATAACAAAGACTGCATAATAGTGAAAAAAAATTATAGGTGACTAATATCTATATAACACCATATGTTCATCCTGTTTTTTTTTTTCTAACATAATAAGAGAAGTTCCTAAGTCAGCTCCAGTAGCACTATCTCAAAGAAGGTTTAGCAGCACAAGAACTCTGGAACTTGTAAAATGAAATAAAAGCAGCCAAAGCATATAGATACATATCTCTGTTTATTACTATTTTGATTACTATATGCTAAATGACATCATATTTGTCTGCAACGACCTAAAACCTGACACAAAAAGCAATCAACCAAATAGAAAACAGCTTAAGATTAAAAAATACACTTGCTGTTGTACACCTGGCCCTTTCCCACTTCTTTACCATTCAAGAAAGTTAAAAAATAAGACCAAACTGGGCTAACATGCATGTAAGCTGAAATGATGAGCATTTCCTACTGCTGAAGCAATAAATTCCTCACATTTGTCTGAGCATCAGGGTCAGTCCTGGACTTTCTGGAATCACTTTAAGGTCAAGTTACTAAAGTCTCATTGCCAAAAAACAATTTTAAAAGTTAGCATTAGTTGTTCATACAGACAGTATCTTTTCTTCTTCTTTCTAAAGACATGTGAACTCATATCATCACTATTAATTGTTCTTCAAATTTCCTACTTGCTTCTTTAAGGAAAGAAAAGTATAACACAAGAACACCTACATTAAATGACAATTTTGTTTTTCATTTTGAAATTAGAAAATAAGTATAAACAAATAATATTTTGATATTATGAAAATACATTAATTCACAAAAATACCTATTGCAATGAAAGTATGAAATCTTATGTCAAAATGAAAAAATACAAAATTTTGAACACAATAACGTATACAACAATAGTGAAGACACTCATAATCTTAATATTCACAAGAAAAGTCCACTTAAAATATTTATAAAGAAGAGATCTTAACATTTATCATCTCTTAGTAGAGCCCACTTTAGAATAGGGTTGAGAAAAGAGTAAGCATTTCAGCAAACCCTTCAATATTTAAGAGATACAAAGGCCTTTAAAAGAAACCCAATTATTTCCTGACAACAAGTGTCGAAGTCTTGTTTATTTTAAAACAACCTGATTGGTCGGGAAGTCTCACGTGACAATATAACTAATCAAGAAAGAAAAGACTGAAGTCATAATGAATCAGACACTAGGAAACCACATCCTGTCTGCAATATTTACAGGTAATTTGTCTGTCTAATCTTTCGTTAGGTCAATACCACAAGTCCCTGGACTGCATTCAGGCTTAATAAAATCTGGTAAAGAATTCCTGATGTCACAAAATAACCTTATTATTTTGGTCCACTACTCACCATCTCTTTCAAGGCTTCATACAACTGCCTCAGGAACTCCTGGAACTGAGGCAGGTGAAGACAGGTGTCTTGTTGGGTTTCCAAAGTGGATGCCTGATCCCATACAGAAAGCTTGCGCATCCAAAACTGAAAATCAGAAGGAAGGCCTACTGAATCTTGAGCCATCTCAGAAAAAGGGAAAAGGTGATGTACCTTCACAGTGGTTTATCACACACTGAAGGAAACAGTGAACACACATCAAATCTATAAGAAAGGGGGAAAGAAATGAAACATTTAAAAAAGGATCTTTTATCAATGCCTTCATACCACTGATGAGTGAAAGGAGGATTACAAGGGACCAAAATAGCATGCTTTCTGTGAAGTCATCTTTGAGTTATTTTAAAATGTGTCACCCAGCTGTATCTCCAATTTTTACCATCTGAACTTTTTATCATGAGTAATATCATTACACTAAAAGTCATTATACCTCCACAGGCACATGCTAATTATGTACAAAAAGCACAGCTGATAATACTTTATATCTTCTTTTTAAGACTGAGCTATTTTTAAATGTTCTGAATATGAAGTTCATTTGAGTATTTTAATGTAATGGGAAATCAAAAACATCCAGGGGAGTTTCATAATAGTCTGTGCCTAAGAAATGTTTTTGAAGTTCTTATGTTTTATATGCACTTCTGGCTTCTCATTTAGATGTAAAAAAATCTCTATGCATTAGTGTCTAATGAATTTTCTTCCTAGTTTCTCAATTCTGAGAAAAAAGTAAAATAATTCATTCCACATGCACCAATTTGAACAATCTGCTTAATTTAATTAATGACTGCTGTATATGCTTGATCTCCATTCAGAAGAAGAAATCATATTTTGGTAAAATAAGATAAACTCCAATTGTTGAGGAGGTATGCCAGTCCTAAGTGACAGAAAATAAAACTCATAAACCTGACTTACGACATCTGAAGTACATGTTAAAAAGAATAGTGGAGTTACATGCAGAGTGAGTGAGTACCTCAGGCAGAGATAGGTAAATAAACTCCAGGTGCCTCACCAGCATCCCAGCTCCTTGCCGTCCACACCCATGGGAAGCATACTGGGCAAAGAAGGGAAGGCTGCTTCTCAACAGGTGCAGGCTTTTACAGACTCATAGTTTCCTGGGGCAGGGATAATACTCAGCTATCTAATTTCAAAAGATTACTCTGCAAGTAGTAAGTGAGTTTAAATCTTCAACAGCGATTAATTAACAGATAAGGTGCTCCCAATTAAATGCCAATAACATCAACAATGGAGGTTTTCATTACTAAACAGGAAAATAAGAAAAAAAATAGGAAGACTGTACAAGTTTGCTGCAGTGCCAAAAAAATCTAGACCAGGAAGATGAATGTTTTAAAATAGTACTAAACATTTAGTTTTGAAAAGTCCCATAAAATTTTTTAAAAGTTTAATTATAGAGGGAAATATGCATACTGTCAAATGGCACATACATAGCCAAAAGTCTAGATGTCTGGTTCCTCTTTCTCTATCTTCTTTGTCCAAGCCACCACCAATACCTGTGAATTCTACCTCTAAAATAAACATATGTGATTTCATTTGACCTCATTCACTTCTTTCCATTTCCACTACTGCCATCCCATCCCATTCCTGTCCATTTCTTCCCTAGAGTCTTCTATCTGGTCCCACCTATTCATCTCCAGTTCATTTTCTACACTGTCAACAAAAACAACTTTCCCAAATGTAAATCAGACCTAGTACACTCCTGCTCAAAACCCCCTTCAATACGTTCCTTGGGAGGAAATCTCAACCCCCTGCAGAAAAGATACCGGCTCCTTACCAGAGTCTCCAAGGCCTTGTAAAACATAGCTCCAGCACACCATCCTATGTCCTATGTTGCCTCTCCCCAGCTGACCAGAGTCCACTCCAGGCCTTTCATCTGTTTACCAACACACCAAACCCTCCTTCCAGGCCTTTCTGCTGATGCCTCCACAGCTCTGAGCACACCGGTTAACTACCCTGGGCATTTATTTGTTCACTCAGTTATTATTGCCTCTACTGGTACATGCAGTCTCTGTCTTCCCTGAATTTAGCCCAGGCCTGGGAAATAATAAATGTTGAATGAGGAAATATTTTTCAAAGTATAGTTCTAAGCTAAATGTTATAACAAAATGCTTTTCCAGGTAGAGCAATTTAATTTTTAAAAGGTAACTCCCCCCAAAAAGAAATTTTAAAGGTATTTTTATGTTATCTATGTAAAACTTAATTATTAATATCCCATTTTATAAATATAGTAATAGCTTACATATTCATATAATTACTATGCTCTTGGCAATATATTAAAACCTTATGCATACTAGCTAATTTGATCCTCACAACAACCCTATGAAATGGGTATGTACTACTATCCTCATTTTACAGAAGCACAGAGAGATTATGCAATTGCCCAAAGAAAGATTATGTAAAAGCCAAAGGAAGTAACTGTTAGTAAGTAGCAAAGCTATGGTTGTGGAATTTGAATTCAAAGACTTAAGCTCTAAAGTCCCGTGCCCTTAAACAAAGAAATAAACTGAAGAAACAAACTGATGAATTTCTAACATGTTTCATATGGCTCTATATGTAAGTCAGTTTAGATATTTGGGAACATCAAATTGAAGAACTTTTTGATAGAAGAGACAAGAAACTATTTTATTTTAACAAAATTACAAACAACCTTTAGTTTAGCAATGGAAATGCATCTGATTGTTTTAAATGGAAAAAGCTTTAGGGATCATGCAGTACAGTGGTCCTGGACGCTCTATTTCACAGCCTATCTGGGGAGTGGGGTCAGTGGGAGTAGGGAGATGATAGTGGTTGTGAAACAGGTGGTACCCTGGTTGTGATGGTAGCAGTGGAGGTGCTGCTGGCATTTAGTGTCCAAGAGCCAAGGATGCTGAACACACTGCAATGCACTGGGACAGCAGCTCAAAAAGGAAAATGGTCTTCCCCCAAAGGCCAACGATGCCCCTACTGAGAAATGCTGACATAATCTGCACACTCTGGAATGGGCATCTGTTGGTTTTGCCTGTTTACCATTCCTCCTCCATTTTTAGTTATAACACCTTACTTTTCCTTTAGGAAAGTATCTCCCCTATATTCCCCAAGTCTTGGCAGGTCCATTAATCAAGGTACCTATGCCATCAGTCAAGGAGTGAGATGATGATTCAAAATAGGCAAACTAGACTCTCTACTGGGAATCCGAATCTTGAGCAGACTGCCATAAAGGTGGAACTAAGTCATTCAAAGATTCTCTTAGTCTAGATCCCTATGCCATCTCCTTAACAAGGTATGACTTTTCAGCTTTCTCTTTAATTCTGTCAGCTACCCAGGGGCCGTCTAATAATTTTTTTTTTTTTTTTGCTTAAATTAACCACTATTGGTTTCTGTGATTTTCAATAAAAGAACACAAACTGATATAGTCTGATGTTATACAGTATCGGATACAAACTGATACCAGATAGTGGGCTGCAGACAACAGACCTTTGGAGAAAGGAGGGGAATTTAGAAGTGCTACTGGGCCAAGTCAGGTAAAATGACAGTGAAACTTCTGTTCCTATTAGGGAACTGGAAACCAGAAGTCCATGGAAGAAGGTAATACAGATCAATGAGGCATCACCCTCACACAGGGGTCCTGAATCATTACACTCTTCTAGTAGGAATGGCCAAGTGAAACCACTTGACTATCAAAAAAAAAAAAAAAAAAGTCACACATCTGATGACTTGCAGAGAACCTCACTCCTCAGCTGAGGGGCCAATGGGTCTTAGTCAGTGATATTAGGCTGTCATAAACGTAATCAAATGGTGACTCCAACTCAAGGTGTACTTTTAGATATGAATCCTAACTGGGGCAAATTAATACTACCCTTTGCACCTAGAATACAGTTAGGAAGCTGGTAAATGCATTTCTCCACGGGGATAAACTGAGGACATGAGAAAGCAGTTGACTTTCACCTGAATCAAAGATATCAATTCTGGATATAGCACATTACACTGGTCTACCATATTGAAGATATCAGGCTGATCAAAGTAGGAAGATACGGATGCCTTGTTTGTATTCCATATGGTGGGATATAAATCCCATGAACATACAGGGCCTGCCACTTCAGGAAGTTTCTTGTAATCCAATGGTCTGTGGTCTGGTCAGGATATGCCCTTTAAAATGAAGATACACAAGAATCTAGTACCAGTGGTGGCCTCCATTGTGGAGACCTAAGTAGATGGATGATAAGTGCAGGAAAGGAAATGTCCTTTCCTGTACTTTTACTGTACACCTTTTTGCAACTTTCAATGCAATGCCATGTGTACTAGTTACTGACTCAAAATTAATAATAATAAACAAACAAAAAAGAAAGTGAATGATAAGTGCTATACCTTACACCTGCTAAGAAGCGAAATGCTTGGCTGATACCTCTGGGATTCTGAAGGTAACATATACTACATGGGTTTTAGACCATTTATCTGCTTCTACCCACTTGCCTGGCAAGGAGGAAATACGGGTAGGCCCAGAGGAATAATCACTATACAGCTTATCTGTCCATACTGAAGTGCTCTGCCACTCAGCTACGACCCAGCAGATCCTACACTCTTTAAAGCCTGTGTGGAAGATCTGGATTCTGGAAAAACCTTATGGCAGGACTCAGTGACTGGACTGATCTTCCAAGCCACAAAGCTGGGTGTACCCAGCAGCACTCTATCATCATGTGCAAATTATGCCTGCTTGGTCAAAATGCATGAGTGAGGTTTTTGGATGCTATCTGTATATGTCTTGCTTGCTATGTCACATAATTTTTAAAAATTCCCTTCTCTTTCATTTTCCCCTCTCCTACTACTGCATATATAAAGTATATTATTAGTAGATAAATTTGCTAAAATCTATAATTTACAGATAATAACAAAGACGGGAAAAGGAACTGACATTATCCAGAACCTCTGGACTTGAAGCTAGATGCATTAACCAGGCATTACTTTGAATTACCTCCCTTTTTGGAAGGAAGAGAAAGCTAAATTATGTTAGTGGAAAGTGTTTTAAGAATTCTTTGTATGGAAAGCAATAGGTTTGAATGTCTTGAGTAACCAAGAAGAGACAGTGGGCATATCTGTCCTTTTTGCCCGCCTAACACCCTTTTCCTGTTCTTTTAATATACAGTCAGCGCTCCCTATCCACAGGTTCTGCATCTGTGGATGGAAATTTTTTTTAATTTCAGAAGGTTCCAAAAAATTTGCCATGCACCCGCTACTATTTACAAAGCATTTACCTTGTATTTACAACTATTTACACAGCATTTACATTGTATTAGGTATTCTAAGTAATCTAGAAATGATGTAAACTATATGGGAGAATGTGGGTAGGTTATATGCAAATACTATGCCACTTTATATAAGGGAATTGAGTATCTGTGGATTTTGGTATCTGCAGGGTCCTGGAATAACCCCCCTGCAGATATCAAGGGACAACTGTATACACACCCCACTTATGCTCTGAAGAACTGCCCTTCCTTTCCGTATAGTTTTAATGAGACTGGTTTGCCTCCTCAGAAGTGGAAGAGTTACACAAGTCTAACAGATAAAACTAACAGCTAAGGAATACACTATACAAAATAAAATGAGTTTATGTCCTTTTTATCTGACATAAACTGTAGACCTTCCCCCATTAAGGAGTACTTTATGATGATCTCACTTAAAACACAAATTGTGTGGCACAAGTGAAATTCTGTTTATGATGTTTTCTTTCTTTCTTTCTTTCTTTTTTTTTTTTTGGTACTGTTCAGTAAGTATTTTTTAGTATTCAAAAAAAGAAGTAAACAGCCAAATGAATCCTATGTACCCTTTAAACAGTTCAAACAATTATCAAGATTTTCCATTTTTAAAGCAAATCACAGATACCATATCACTTTACTCAAAGTATCTTGATTTGTGTCTCTCTCTTTTTTTTTTTTTTTTTGTGGTATGCGGGCCTCTCACTGTTGTGCCCTCTCCCGTTGTGGAGCACAGGCTCCGGACGCGCAGGCCCAGCGGCCATGGCTCACAGGCCCAGCCGCTCTGCGGCATGTGGGATCTTCCCGGACCGGGGCACGAACCCGTGTCCCCTGCATCGGCAGGCGGACTCTCAACCACCGTGCCACCAGGGAAGCCCTGTGTCTCTTTTTCATAAAGACCTAGAAGAAACTTAACTACAATATCTCTTTCATATCCAATAAAGCCAACAATGCTATCATCTAATAGCCCTTCTATGTTCAAATTTCTTAAAAACTTCCCTTTATATTTGGATCGTTTATATTCGGATCCAAACAAGATCCACACATTGAATGTAGTCAATATTGATATTTCTCCTTTAATCTGTAACAAAATGATGTAAAAACAAGGCTTCTCTAATCTGTAACAAGTACCCCTCTTTTATTTTTTTTTAACCTCTTCATATCATTTATCCCCAGGAAAACCCAACACATTTGACCTATAGAATCTTTCACACTTGTGCCTTTAGCATTTCTTGTGGTGGTCTTTAACATGTTTTGCTCTCTCTTCTATATTGCTTGCAAACGGATAGCTAGACCTAGAGGTTTCATTAGATTCAGGGTTAGTTCTTTTGCAAGAATACTTCATTTGTGGTGTTGTGTTCTTTGAATCAAATCAGAAGTCACATATAATATCTGGTTGTCTCATGTATCATAATGTTGAAACTGATCAGTGGTTTCAGGTACTGTCAAACAAATCCATACATTATAAAGTTCACCACCACCTTTTCTCTAATGGTTTTAGGATCTTCTGATGATCATTTTAGGTCCATTAGAGGCTGAAAAATAGTGATTTTTCTAATTTTATCCATTCTCCTGCTTTTATGATGTTTCCTGATGTATAGAAGTTTTACATTTTTAGGTAGTCAGGTTAACAATCTTACCTTTGGAACTCCAATGTATGTCTCTCCAATCCTGTGAAATTGCCAAAAGTTCTGCTAACTTCTCTCACTTTTAGTAGTACAGGCCCTCTTCTAGGTTCCTGGTCTCTCCCAGCTTCTCAAGAAATGACAAATGCCCTGAGGTTGAAAAGCTGCTGTAAAATGTCTGCTCAGAACTTTGCACCTCCCTTCATCCCAAGATCTTAACCCCTTGAGTCATGAGTACCTTCATAGTTCTCCAGTATCTTCCAAATACGTTTTATCTGGCTTTTCTAGCCACTCTAAAATAGCTGGAGGTAAAGTCTATAAGAAGTTCTCTTGATTAACCAGGATAGGTGAGGTAGAAAAAAGTATGATACAGACTATATTTAATGCAAATATACTTTCTTTAAAATTGCACCCAGGGCTTCCCTGGTGGCGCAGTGGTTGAGACTCCGCCTGCCGATGCAGGGGACGCGGGTTCGTGCCCCAGTCGGGGAGGATCCCACATGCCGCGGAGCAGCTGGGCCCATGAGCCATGGCCGCTGGGTCTGCTTATCCGGAGCCTGTGCTCCGCAATGGGAGAGGCCACAACAGTGAGAGGCCCACGTACCGCAAAAAAAAAAAATTGCACCCAATTTCAGTTCTATTTCAGACTATATAGTTGAGACCAACCTTCCTGCTGAAAGTTATTCTATAAAGCTACATGAAATATAAAAACGTAATTCAAAAATCATGAAAGAAACAGCAAGATAGTGTAGAATTTTCAGAGAAAGATCTTGGCACATAAGGTGGCACAGGCCTAGGGAGGCTTTTCTGATCCTGAAGAGGTAGTTTAAAGACAAAGCAGCAATTTTGACAGCCTTGCTAGAGAGTAAAAGTAGGAGGCCAGGCCTGTCAAAGTGAGGTCCTCGTAAACCACCCCACATTGAGGACTGCACCCACAGAGGTCCACCCTGAGAGTATGGGTGACCCAGAAGTAAACCAGCCTGCATACAGACTACAGCCTAACTATGAAACTGAAACTGAATTAAGGTGGCCCCAGGTTGCTAGTGCTGCTAGGTACCTGCAAGATGCAAACAAAATTCCTCTCTGGAGAAAAATAACATCATCATACCTTTCTAGTTATTTCTGAAAATAATTTTTCAAATCCAACAAAATTAAATAATTAAAGACAGGCACACAGGAACAAAAGAACACATGAACAAGAACCCAAAAACAACGGACAAGAACAACAACAACAAAAAACCCCAAAACAGAGAGGTACTCAAGATAGTTCAAAAACTAGACAAATCCCTGGTGGCACAGTAGTTGAGAGTCTGCCTGCCGATGCAGGGGACACGGGTTCGTGCCCCGGTCCGGTAAGATCCCACATGCCGCAGAGCGGCTGGGCCCGTGAGCCATGGCCGCTGAGCCTGCGCGTCCAGAGCCTGTGCTCCGCAAAGGGAGAGGCCACAACAGTGAGAGGCCCGCGTACCGCAAAAAAAAAAAAAACTAGACAAAAACTATAAAGTAACTAAGAGGGTCCCTTGTGAAGATGAAAGCCAAAATTTCATCAAGGAACTGAAAACTATAAAAAAATGACCCTGTAGATGAAAAACAAACAAACAAACAAAAAAAGCAGGAATTCTAGAACTAAAAAAAAACTGAAATTAAGAATTCAACAGATGGGTTTAACAGCTAATTAAACACAGTTGAAAAGGGATTTGATAAACTTGGAAGATATATTAGAAGAAACTATCCAGAATTCAACATGGAAAGTAAAAATAATGGAAAAATACAGAAGAATGGATAAGATACACAGAAATACAGTGAGAAAAAGCTAGAAAACCTATCTTCAATGCAATGAAAGGAAGAAAGGACCAACCTAGAATACTACACCAAGCTAAAATACTCTTCAGGAATAAAGGTAAAATAAAGTCCTTCTGACACACTGAAAGAATCTGTCACCAGTAAATCTGCTCTAAAGGACGCTCTTCAGGCAGATGGAAAATGATTCCAGATGGAAGTCTAGAGATGTCAGAAGAAATGAAAAAACAAGAAAAAATGATAAATACATGTGAAATTTTAAATTAACACTTATGATATAAAATAAGAATAGTATTATTGGGGTTTTATTCATATATATACTGAAATTAAAATATAAAAAACAATAGTACATATGCCAGGAGAATGACAGACTTAAAGAGTTCTAAAGTCCTTGCATTTTCCAGGAAAAGGAGGATAAAAATGTTAACATTCGACTTTAATAATTCAAAAAAGCATACCATAATTTCTAGGCTATCCACTAATGGAAGAATAAAAGACAGTATAGAATCTCCAAATTATCAGAGGAGAAAAATTCATAGTAAAAAACACTTAACCCCCAAAAGGGCAAGACTGGAGAGAAAAGGAATATAGAATAGACAAAATAAATAAAAAGCACACAATAAGATGGTAGATTTAAACTCAAATATATCAGTAATTATATAATATGCAAATAGATTAAATTCCACAAGTAAAAACCAAAGATTATCAGTTTTGAATTTTTTAAAAAGCTAAATGTTGTTACAAAAGACACATCTAAAACACAAGGATATAGGGATAACAGAGAGGCTAAAAGAAGAATAAGAAAAAAAATGCCATGTTAACCTAACCAAAAGAATCAAATAGAGAGGGTGGGAGGGAGGCGCAAGCAGGAGGGGATATGGGGATATATGTATACATAGAACTGATTCACTTTGTTATACAGCAGAAACTAACACAACATTGAAAAGCAATTATATTCCAATAAAGATGTTAAAAAAAGAAAATCAAATAGTTTCAATTTAAATACACTTTAGGGCAAAAAGCATTATTAGAGGTAAAGAGAATCACTTCATAAGGATAAAATGTTTAATTTACCAGGAATACGTGACAATTTAAGTTTACATGTACTACACAATAACATGGGAATGTAGAACAACATATAAAGCTTAAAATATAACACAGAAATTAACATAACTACAATGAAAAATAATAAATTCCAATCATAGCAGGAAATTTTCACACACTTCTCTCTGTAAATCATAGGATAATCAGACAAAAATCCATGAATTACAAGTTTTCCCTCAAAGCACACTCTAAGCTTATGTGTTTATGTACACTAGTAGAATGCTCGTAGCAGTATTATTCATAATAGACCTAAATTGAAAACAACCTATATGCCAATCAAGAGTAGAATAAATAAAATATTCATACAAGGGAATACTATGGAGCAATAAAAATGTAGAAACTACTACTACAGTCATAGAGATGAACTGACAATCACTGGCTGAGAGAAAGAAACCAACCCATAAGAATATATAAGGTATGATTCACTTATATAATGTTCAAAAACAGGTAAAACTAAACTGTAGTGATTACCCCAAAAAAGCCAGGAAACCTGCTACATTTAGAGGAAAGGAAGCAGGATTATTGGGAGGGTATGTGAGAAAGGCTTTCAGGATGCTGGCAATATTCTATTTATTGACCTGGATGGCAGTTACATATATATTAACGTTTTAATAATTTATTAAAGTGTAAATCATGTTTATGTACTTTTCTACATGTATTATTTCCACAACTATAGAAAAATTGTTTTAACTTCTAGCTACATATTTGCCATACAGATATCACCCCAAAGGTAAGGAAAAAAAAGAAAACATAGTATAGTTTGTAAATGCGAATCAAGACGTAAAGTACTTGATGAACATAATAAAAGGTTTTAAATTGCTAAAATAGTCTGCATTTTCTATTTTTTAGTTGAGTTCTCTGTTTGAAAAAATTAAAACCACCAGAATTGGCCAGGGATACAGTTCCAGTGCTTGCTCCCTCTTCTTCATTCCTGTCCTCAAAATGTCCCCATTTTCCCAATCCTGGCTCTGCGGAAGAGAAAATCCACAGCCTTCTCCCTCCATCTGCCTTCCCGTAGCTATATGGCTACGGCTTTGCCCTATGAGGGCCATTGCCACAGGAAGGGAGAGACATCCAATCTACCACGCAGGGGAGGATAACTGGTGAGAGCATGAGATGGTCTGTGCTCATGTATGAGGCAGTGTCCATGTATCTCAAAAAAAAAAGAGAAATGTATGCCTTGTAAAATGGGGGTGATTCTTCAGATTCATAGTGATTTCAACTTTTTTCACAAATGCACTGATTTTTTTATACCAGTTAATCTGCACACTTACTACACAACTGAGAACTAACTATACTTTTGATTGATACCACATCTTTTGATTGGTACCAAAATCCTTGATACTGCCCTGAATGTAAATCCTTGGCTTTCTTATGATCCTGCTGAGTGTATATGCCCTCACATGGACGTCTATGCCTATATTCATTTCATACAAACAACTAAAGAAATATTGTTTAGCATCTTTTATTTAAGAGCACAAAAGAAAGGTGGACGTTCAATGACATATTTCCTCAAAACTCAAGACTTTAACAGTATTTTGTGCACGTGCACACACACACACACACACACACACACACACACACACACATATATACTAATGTATACTAATGTAGCAAAAGCAAAGGGCATGGAAAGTCAGAAGGAAATCCCCTTTTTCATTTCTTGAATATTTCTCTTTTAGCACATTTACACAGGTTCCTAAGGAATCAAACCATGATTTCACCTTCTCTACATAGAGACTAAAAATAACAGAATTGCTAGTCTCCTCAGTATATATATCCAAAAGAAAATAAAATGACCTTCAGAAATTCTTATGAAGAGTGAACTAAAGGGAAAGTCCTATGAGCAGAGAGACCTAGACACCTGAATGGAAATGACTGTCCTGTGAAAGATTCCCATGTGCTTGTTCATGTCCCTGTTTCCTGCTGATCAGAGGAAAGCAGGAGGTGGGAGGGGGAGGAGTAAAGTGGCAAGGAAAACCAGCTCTGGGGTCCAGCAAACACCTGAGATACCCAAAAGAGACAGGGTCAAAATGGTGTCAGGTTGGGATCACTGCATTTGCCCTTTCCCTCTCATCTATAAATTGGTCAAAAGTTACTTTGTTGCTTGCCAAGTACTATTCTATGAACTCAAATCACATGGCACAAAGATACACTATTGCATACCCTCAATAACCTCAATGTCTATGAGGGTTCATACTCAGACTCAAAGTACAGCAGGTGAGAGAGAAGTAATACTTCAGGGC